TGGTTATGTACATGGGTTCATTTACAATTATAATTTATATTGATGTCTTTGGGTTTTTGGGGATCTTTTTTTTTTTTTTAGGAGAAGATACTTTTTTGTTCCAAAATCACTATATTAGGTACCGCTCAAAAAGAGTAACCTTGTTTATGATATTTGCAACAATGAATAATATGTGAAGGTTATTCCCATATCGGGAATTGAGGGTTTTACTCACTCGTTCACCGACTCTTTTGGGGAAGAGACCACAGAGTTTTTATATAAATAATAGAACTGAATTTTAAAAAATGTTAGTCTCCATAATTTCTTGGAACTCAGGAAATGACTTCAGCTTCCAAGAAGAGGCAAAAAACAAAGAATATAAAGACATAAGCTATATTTAGGGAGGTTAAAAATAGCCTCAACACCCCTCCAATTGATACCAGGGGGCATTAAACGGGAGGTCGTTTATTTTTCATCATTAAAGGGAATCTGCTGGCTTGGAGCCAGGTTGCGGCGGTGGTGGATTCTAAGAAGGCCGAGAAGAAAGGGTAAGAACCTGGGAAGAAATGCTTCGGTTATAGAATCATTACTTTTGGCATACCAAGACTCTTTCAGTGATACGCTAACGTATGCACGAAGGAATGTGTGGTCACTGGACATGCGTCAGACCGGTAGGCTGTTGTTGGGTGCTGCGCTGCCTGAAGTACAAGAGCTCCATCTATGCTTCCTTTCTTTCTGTGGTGAATCTGTATAAGACCGGTGTCTTAATAAAGTTGTGTTGTTGTTGTTGTTGCATACCAAGACTCAAATTTAAACCTAGGCAATTTGTTATTCTAAATTAATGTTATGGGAATAAATGCTTCGGTTATAGAATCATTACTTTTGGCATACCAAGACTCTTTCAGTGATACGCTAACCTTGATGTATGCCCGAAGGAATGTGTGGCCATTGGACATGCGTCGGACCTGTAGGTTGTTGTTGGGTGCTGCGCTGCCTGAAGTATAGAAGCTCTATCTATGCTTCCTTTCTTCCTGTTGTGAATCTGTATAAGACCGGTGGTCTTAATAAAGCTGTGTTGTTGTTGTTATTGCATACCAAGACTCTTTCAGCGATACGTTAACTTTGATGTATGTAAGAAGGAATGTGTGGCCACTGGACATGCGTCGGACCTTTTAGCTGTTGTTGGGTGCTGCGCCGCCTGGAGTACAGGAGCTCCATTTATGCTTCCTTTCTTTCTCTGGTGAATCTGAAAAAGATCGGTGTCTTAATAAAGCTGTGTGGTTGTTGCATACCAAGACTCAAATTTAAACCTAGGCAATTTGTTATTCGAAATTAATATTATAGCCTTTTTTTTATTACTATAAATATCAATCTCAAAAGAATATTGAGTATTCCAAAACACATATCATACAAATACTCAAATGTGTAGTAATCTGTATTGGTCTAGATTTTTGTCGTCGTGTCCAATGAAGAGTCTCAGATGTCGCCATACATCTCTATCACAGCAGTCGCAATGTTCTCTATCTTGGGTGTGTATACTGTATTGTTGTTGTCGTGTCCAATGAAGAGTCTCGGATGTCTCCATACATCTCTATCACAGCAGTCTCAGGGTTCTCTATCTTGGGTGTGTATACTATATTGTTTTTGTCGTGTCCAATAAAGAGTCTCAGATGTCCCCATGCATCACAGCAGTCGCAATGTTCTCTATCTTGGGTGTGTATACTGTATTGTTGTTGTCGTCGTGTCCAATGAAGAGTCTCAGATGTCTCCATACATCTCTATCACAGCAGTCACAATGTTCTCTATCCTGGGTGGGTATACTGTATTGTTGTTGTTGTCGTGTCCAATGAGGAGCCTCAGATGTCTCCGTACATCTCTATCACAGCAGTCGCAATGTTCTCTATCTTGGGTGGGTATACTGTACTGTTGTCCAATAAAGAGCCTCAGATGTCCCCATGCATCTCAGCATTCGCAATATCGGTCGAGGTCAGAGGTCGGCAAACTGCAACTCGCGAGCCACATGCGGCTCTTTGGATGTGAAGCTGCGGCTCTTTATATAGTTCCATACGTGAATATTATTTATGCGAGTACTATTTATTATTGGCAAGAAAATTGCAATTTGTAAATTGCAATTTTCGACTCTTCCAACTCAAAAGTTTGCCGACCCCTGGTGATAAGGCCTTATGTCTCACATCCTTAGCAAAAGGAAGTATTCATGAATACTTGACGTCAGTACAGGGGTCGGGAAACCTTAATCTAATATTAATAAAAAACATAATTTTATATATTTGTACCAAAAATTAACAGTCGAATGCGCTAACCGATATATACATTTGTAATTTTGTAAAAATAGAAAAGTCTTTTTCTTTAATATGTGCTCTTGTTGGGTGCTGCGCTGCCTGGAGTATAGGAGATCCATCTATTATTTCTTCCTGTGGCGAATCTGTATAAGATCGCTGGTCTTAATAAAGCTTTGTGTGTGTAATATGTCCTCTTGGTTTAATCTTTAAAATTTATTCGCACTATAAAAATCTACTCTCTCTCTCCCTTCTATAACAGTAGAACAATATTTGATCACAGATCTCACATTACTAATCAAAAGATGTATCGCACAAGTAAGAATACTTTTTTCACTGTTTAAAGAAACCCACGCTAAAATATTTACCTCAACTGACCGAATATGTCCATTATGTAATAAAAAAACTGACTCGGAACTGGAGCATCACATGTTTTTATGTTTAAAGTTAATAAGTGAAAGGGAACTTCTTTTACATAAAATTGAATCAAATCATCTTGCTCTGGAGGTTCTGTTGTCTAGGACAACAAAGAACAAATCCAATACATTGGCCCTGTACAAGTTTTACAGGGCTGCGCAAGAGAAGAAACATTGAGAAAAGAAAGCAATATGTAAATGGATATGTAAATGAACGATTATCTGTAAATAATTAACTCATCTTTTCTGAGCAATTATGTATCTGGGCGATTCCTGTGTAGCGCATAGGTTCCCAATAAGAGATTTGTTGCTGTTGTTGAATTAAATGTTTAAATTAGAGATATAAAAATATTCTGTGACGCACTTGTTTTTCTTTTGTATATTTTCTATAAATATCGTTATTGTACGATTCAGGAACACATGGCTTAACTAAATATAGAAATATCGTTTTTTTTCTTTTACTTGTGTGTGCTTAGCTGTGTTCAACTTGCAAATTTAGCATACCTTTAATAATAATTACTTTCAAAATATCCTTTTTATTACTCATTGGTTAAAATGAGGATTTATTTCGTTGTTTATTACCATTTTCTATAATTTTATTGTATAGAGAAAACAAAATCAATAACTCTATATAATACAAAATGAATAAGATGTTTATTAATAATTTCAAATATTACACAAGCAGACATAATAATTATATTTTAATACATGCAGACGATACGTAAAAAAGTCGTTAATTAAAAGTATTTTTAAAGAGACATTTAAAAATAAAATAATTAGCTATCAAAGGGAGAAAGTGAAGAATTATAAAGTTAGAATTTAAAATTCTTTATATTGAAAAAAAAAGAGAGAGGAGAGAGAAATATATTTTAAAATTATATAAAATTAATTTACGTTTTTGTTAAAATTTAATTACACCTTAATTTAAAACTCTTTGAACTTCAAAGCAAATTGTTAATTAGTATTGGAATGCCAAAAATGGGTTTCAATTAGATATATTTTTTGTCAAAAATAATGTAATATAATTAATTAAAGTAATTTTATAAAATAATTGATTCGTAAAACCATTTTTGTTTTAATATAAGTTTATATATAATTAATAAAAATTTACTTGCTTCTTTTTAAATATGTAAAGTAATATCACTATAATTTTAGCCACTAAAATATTTTTAAGAAATTGTGAAAAAGCATGAAAAATTATTAAAAGGTTAGGTGTTGATATTTAGACATATACTTTACTTACCACAGGTATATCCTGACATGAGCATTTTAGAGGTCAGAGCACCATTTAGTAGAACAAAAATTAAAAAAAAAAAATTAAGAAAATGCAAATATAAATTAAATATTTGAATATTTAATATCTACACATTACATTTATATTTATTTTTAAATAAACACAACTTAACATACAGACTGTTCGAAAAGTCGATGCGCAATCAAAGACTTATAAACCTTTTATATTTTTTATTATAAAATAAATGAAGTTTCCAGGGTTAAGTTTCTTGTATTCTTTTTTTACTAAATAAAGATATCAATCTACAATATGTAAAGTCTTGTTAGGGACCTGCATCTTCGAGTCTCTGAGAAACATTTGCAGTATTTTTTATGGCTTATAACTTTAGTTAATAATGGAAATTATTACAAAGCAATAACGCGCTATCTATATATAACAAATGAAAACATTAAAACGTGAATGTTTCTTTTTACAAATAAATAAAACTTCTAAGATTCCACCCTTCAGTGTAGCATATAAAAGAAGAATTATCCAATACAGTATTAGAGCTCAAAGAAGCGGTCTGGTAGATTAAATTGACGTAACCGCTGGGAAGGTTGACTACTGTTGAGTCAAGCCCTTCCAATATTATTTTCGTCTCAGTAAGGACAGAAGAGGTTTGATTTATTTGTGAAAAGAAACATTCGCGTCTTAATGTTTTCAAATAAAATTATGTTCTGGTAACTTTTGACTGGTTTAAGATACCCTATATGGGTTTATATCATTTGTTATAAAACTAAATAATACAAGGTGAAGATTGAGGGTATTTCTTAGAAAAGATAAAAGCAAATGGCAACGAGGTTCTTTATTATATATAATTACACAAAAGAACGAGGCATGTTGAATGTCTTCAGAGAGATAGCAGCCAGACGCTGGTCGAGGGAGGTCTGATCTATTCTAGTGTCAAAGAGAGCCTGGGTAATTCGACTATATTTTTCGGATCGACGATGTAATCGGAGACCTTTCTCCTGTCTGGCGCCTGGGTTACCTATGTATGTTACCGCAACCCCTACCGCTAAATACCCCTATAAAAAGTGATAGGGATAGGAATCGAACCCACAGTGTTCCGCTTACCGGGCAGATGCCATGTCCACTAGGTTACCCTGGACATTATGCAAAGTGATAGGATACGTATATATCTATTTTTTTTCTGAATTAAACGTAAAATAAGCTTTAATCAAATTTGCTGAAATTTAGAATATAATCCCTCGCTAGCAATTTAAGATAATAAAATAAACGCCTAAGGATGAGTATTTTTTATTAAATGTTTTTCGAGCTTTTAGGATAACACCCTTCTACAGGAAAATTGATATGCTATGGCAAGTTATATATACATTATACATTTTGCTGATAACATGTTAATTTTATAATGTACATATAACTTGCCATAGCATAGTTAAGTTTCATTTTGTTTCAATTTTCTTGTAGAAGGGCGTTATCCTGAATCCATCCATAGGCGTTTATTTTATGTTGACTTTGCTTAGAATTTTTAATGAAACTGATTCCAATAAATATTAATCAAACATTATATTTATTGATTTACAAGAGAGAGAGAACAAAATATAAAAAGGAAACTAATATTAAACAATTAACTTTTTTTTTCTTTTGGTTAGCGCCTATTTACCTGTGAGCTTACACACACTCTGTGGGAACAATTAATTAATATATATACAACATTTTATTATCTAAAATTTGCTAAAAGGAAAAATATTTTAGATATGATAACTGAAGCGTAGTAAATTTTGGCAGCAATTATTTTCTTCACATTCTATTTATACTCTTGGCGTACAATTCAATGCACGTGTAAATAGCTGAAGATGTTTTTGTTAAGTTCTTTTGAAAAATACATTTAAGTAATCATCATAACTGCTTTTACCTTGTTTTTAATTGCACAAAAACATAAAATTTGTAATTACCTCTGAAGTATAAACATCCTTTAAATATCTAAAATTAGTTTGTTTAGATATGTACTATACGTACAAGGAAGTTATAAAATTTATAAAAAGTAAAGCCACGTGTAGGTTTTTAATTTCAAATTGTGATTTGTTGAAAAAAGAGATACAGTTAAACCTGTCTATAGCGCCCCCTCTTGGGACTCACCAAAATAGGGTGTTATAGACAGGTCACTTTTAATGTAAATCTCATCGTACGCTATCGTGACAATATCAGGTGCTATAGAGAGGGAGGCGCTATTTAGAGGGGGCGCTATAGACAGTTTAAACTGTATCATATTGTCACGTGGAAAATTAGCGAAGACAAACTTCAGGATGACGCATCAATTTTTTAAGGCAAGAACAAACTATGAGTAGCAAAATATAATCAAAAATAATACTCTGTTAATAAAATAATAAATAATTTGCTACAATATACAATTACAAAATTCCCTGTCTCGATTGCGAACAGTGTTACATCGGAGAAACCGGTCGATCTATCTGCACCAGATTATCTGAACACAGCCGCAACATACGCACCAACGACCGCAAGTCTCTCTTATGCCAACACATCACAGAATTTCGCCACTCGTTCAATTTGGACAGCGCTGTATGCGTTTACAAGGGCGTCGGGAACAAGTATCAGCGCCTAGTCCTTGAATCTTTGGTCTCGGACTGCACGCCCAGTTTCAACCGAAAAATCGACCTCCCACCCCAATACTCCGTGTTTTACCTCGCCAATCCCCCCCAGCTGAACTATTTACCTACTTTATTTGGTTATCTTTCATGTCCATAGTTTTAAAATATTGCCAAGTTGTAACCTGAAGAAGGGCTTTCTTGCCTGAAAGCTTGTCTTTTACCATTAAAAGAAAATCAACACGTTTTTATCGCCTTCATTTCAAACAATATACAACGTTGCACAATAAATTATTAATATACAACAACAAAAAGCTTTATTAAGACCTTTTGGTCTTATACAGATTCTCCAAGTAGAAAAGGATATATACTGGAATAACTGAAATAGTGATAATAGTCAGCAATGTAGATCATTTGTTGGTGGGATATTGGTTTGGATAAAACACAGCCACAACAACCAATGATTTATTTAATTCTTGATGATTCAGGGACTTGCTATCACTCTCTTCAGGGGAACGGTTATTTTGAATATTGTTCTACTTTCTAAATCATATTTCAAATTTCAAAAAGACATGCAAATCATCATGTATCTGCATATATAAATAAATTATTTCTTAATATTGTCGAGCTTGACTCCTCCGGTTCTTCGCGACGATGCCGCTTCCTCCGTCGTGGATCTCCTACCTAGGATCCGTTGCTCTACCTCCGCAGCTCTACCCTGCAGACCACCGAGAACCGCTACTCACGTGGTTTTCCTTTCCTCTGGCAGTATCTCTCAACCTTACAACTGATGGGAGGACACGAGAGACTTACCAGAAGAGTACCTACTGTGGTGTTGGCCAGAGTGTCACAACAGCAACAAGACTTCTAACACTCCTCTCTTTTATTGTCATCTTTAATGAGAGGAAAGGAAAACCACGTGAGTAGCGGTTCTCTGCAGGGTAGAGCTGCGGAGGTAGAGCAACGGATCCTAGGTAGGAGATCCACGACGGAGGAAGCGGCATCGTCGCGAAGAACCGGAGGAGTCAAGCTCGACAATATTAAGAAATAATCGAATAACAATTAACAGGTATTTACACTATTTTACATCCCAGGGCTAATATCAACGGATATTTACAACTATTAGCCCCAGAAAAAAGGACCACAGCAGTCAGCGATTCTCACATTATTTCCAGAACGGAAATAGGCGAAAGCACCATCTATTGGCGGAAGTTGTAGGTGTTTTCAGGCCCATATACGCGCCAATATACACTGCGTGACATTGAAAATGGAACACCAAGAAATAGTGGCCAGAAAGTGATGAAACTCGGCAGACAGAGAGAGACAGGGACGAGCAATAAGTGATCTTTATTTCAAAATGATAGTCATAATACAGAGCGAGAAAGGCGTCGGCTTAGTAGCAAGTAGGACCACCGCGGACGGCGATGCACGCAGCAACACGTCTAGGTAGAGAGTCAATCAGAGTACGGATGGCGTCCTGAGGGATGGCTCTCCATTCCCTCTCAACCATTTGCCACAGTTCGTCTTCTGAACGCGGCTGTGGCAAGGCATGCAAACGGCGTCCAATGATGTCCCAGACGTGCTCGATTGGTGAGAGATTAGGAGAGTACGGTGGCCAGGGAAGCATCTGTACATCTTGCAGAGCTTGTTGGCTAATGCGAGCAGTGTGCGGTCGGGCGTTATCCTGCTGATAAAGGGCATTGGGTACCCCCTGAAGGTAGGGGAGTGTCACCGGTCGCAGCACATCATCAACGTATCGTTGGGCCGTCATAGTGCCCTGAATACGAAGTAAAGGTGACCTGGAATCATACGCGATTGCGCCCCAAACCATGATTCCACGTTGTCGCACGGTGGGGCGTTCCACAATTGCTGCCGGATTGGACCTTTCTCCACGTCGACGCCACACGCGTACACGGCGACTATCACTGGACAAGCAGAAACGCGACTCATCTGAGAACACGACCCTGTGCCATTCCGTCATCCACGTCGATCTAGCCCGGCACCATTCTAAACGTTGGCGCCTATTCGGTGGGGTCAATGGCAGTCTTCTTAGCGGACGGCATGAGTGCAAGCCATTAGCAACCAATCGACGGGAAATGGTTCTGGTCGAGATGGATAATCCGCCATTATATAAGCAAATAAGTAGTGGTTTATGTTTAAAATAAGAAACTTCCTTAAGTTTTGTCCATGAGTGTAGAATTGGCTGCCTCTAATTTTTTTGAAGACCTATATTATCTTCAAGATTCTTGGTAATTGTATTTTACTTGTGGTTTAAAGATTTGGTTTAGTATTGTAAAAATAAAATCTGTGGCTGAGATATGGGAGTTACTACTGTTCTCTAATAGAGATTGTGATGAATCAGAATAGTTTCTAGTATTCTAGTACATCATTATTCTTTGGTCGGTAATTCTATCAGATTATATGGAGATGTTGCAGTCAGTTTCTGCTATGTACAGAAGTTGTTCAAGGACACCATGTTACAGTAGCAACAAGAGTCCTAATCTCTCACTGAAGACACAAGGATGACACATGAAACCCTTGTCATTTGAGGGGGATAAGAATACTTTCCCCCTATGTATCAAATGCTTCACACACCCAACCCCGCCGCTATACATTCAGGGATTAATAGGATCAAGCAAAAAGGAGCTCCTTCCTTCTTCTTTCTTATTTCCACTCAATCATATTTTGGTATTAAGCCTGTAGAACGTGGCAACTATCATGAATGGGTGCAGTAGAATGCATCATTTAGACTGGGAGCACTACTCAGTGGCAGGCCGACTTAGCTCCGATATGAAATGGCCGTCCTTGACATGAGGAACAGACACTATGTGCAGCTGCTCCTAACATGGAGTACAGACGCTGCTCCTTCCTGATTCCTAAAGAGGTCTTAAGAAAGATAGATGTGTGCTTGAAGGAAGAGTGGTGTGAAGACTGGAACAAGCAGCAACACTACTACTGCCACAGGTGGCTCCAATGTACTGTAGAATGGACAGCTCTATCAGTTTAATGACAATTAGTAAAAATATGGAGGAAGTTACATGACTGGTCTGTGTAGCCTGTTCCATAGGTTTGTATGTTGGTTGGGGAGAGTTTCTATGCCTGCCTCCCACATCTGTTTTATGGGTTACTAGACGAAAGGCCCGGGCAACGCCCGGGGTTTACCCGAGTGCGAATATATTTCAAAAACGTTGTCTTGGGTGGCCGCTATAGACAGGGTGGTCTGTATAGACAGGTGGATGTATCACACAGCTGATAATAGGGTTGCCTAGAGTGACCGCTATAGACAGGGTGGACTCTATAGACAGGTGGATGTATCACACAGCTGTAGAGTGGTCGCTATAGACAGGGTGGTCTGTATAGACAGGTGAATGTAACACACTGATGATAACAGGGTTGCCTAAAGTGACCGCTATAGACAGGGTGGTCTGTATAGACAGGTGGGTGGTCGCTATAGACAGGGTGGTCTGTATAGACAGGTGAATGTAACACACTGATGATAACAGGGTTGCCTAAAGTGGCCGCTGTAGACAGGGTGGTCTGTATAG